GAGATCGTACCCGAAGGATCTAGAAAATAATCGAGGTTGATTCAGTAAAATCGTAACAATACGTTCTTTGACCCAATTTACTTTCAATAATTCGGTTTTTTTTACAAAATATGTGTAGTGAGAAAATATGGCCACATTTTAGTTGGTCCAATTGAACAGCTGTTTGTTTCCATACTGACATTTCTAAACTTCATAATCCCATTTAATATATCTATAACAAGCGGTGTAAAAACGTGAAAATAATTGAATATTGTTTTATTCTATTAAAAATATCTAATACAATCATTAACTGGCACAAACTGCATAAAGCTATAATGGAACAGTGTTATAATCGTGGCTGTGGACAAACATTTGACCCTGAGAAGAATACTGATGGTAATATCAAAAAAAAATATTTTGAAGAACATTCTGGAAAACATTGAGTGCGTCTAATTTTGTAAATAAAAATCTTCTTTTTAGAATCATGTTGCCATCATCCGGGAGCACCATACTTTCATGACGCCTATAAGGGCTGGTCATGTTGTAAAAAAAAATCTGTAGATTTTACCGAATTCCTAAGTATTAAAGGCTGCACACTTTCGAAACACTCGAATATTAAACCTCCAGAGCCTGAAAAGCCAGAAAAGAGGGAAAGTGATAAAAATGAAGTTGTGGTAGTGCGTTCGCCTATAAAGGCGACAATGCAAAGACCACCAATTGAGACTCCCATGACTGTCATAAGACCAACGATCGCGCAAGCCCTAAAAGATGCAATAGATTCACTAAAATTAAAAGCTAGTGGCATCAGTGAAGAAAACTTCGAATCTGGGTATGCACATGCAAACATTATGGAGGGAAATTCTATTAATAATAGTTTGTGTTTATGAAATTCGCAGTGCCATTCCTATCGGTACCTCCTGTAAAAATAAAGGTTGCACATACTCTTACACTGGTACTGCAACCGATAATGAGGAGTGTGTTTATCATCCTGGTGCACCAATCTTCCATGAAGGCATGAAATACTGGTCGTGTTGTCAACGGAAAACAAGTGACTTCGCTGTATTTATAGCACAGAAAGGTTGTGCGTGTGGGGAGCATATGTGGTTCAAGGAGGTAGTTAAGACGATAAGACAAATAACTAATACCTTTTTATTTTATTGTGTTCTCTATATTATTTAAAGGATCAGGACAGAAAAGTTGTAATCTGTCGTTATGATTGGCATCAAACTCCTTCCAATGTCATAGTTTCAATATATGCTAAAAAGTATCATTACCTTTTAAGCAAAATAGAAGTGAATCCTATACGCCTACATGTTAATCTTGTATTTCCTGAGCAGGAAGATTCACAGTTTGATTTGGAATTAGAGCTGCGCGGTGTAAGTAACGCAAAATTCGTTAAAAGTTAATATTTTCATTAACACGTCAATTATATCGCAGATAATTGACGTTAATAAAACAACGGCACACATGTTTGGTACGAAAGTGGAAATAACTATGCCGAAAGCAGAACCAGGCTCATGGCCAAAATTAGATTTTCCACGTATTAAATTACCACCCGCATTGAAGTCAAACGAAGCAAATGTTACTGCTGCCAACCAAAGTAAAGACTCAGAATCTGATGATGGCTTTAATCTGGATGACATTGAAACAGTTAACACCGGTATACGACTCACAGAAATTAGTGACAACAAAAATGATTTGGACTAAAAGTGTCTTATATGTTTCAAAACCTATTGCAAAATGAAAAAAGTTTCTAAAGTGCATTTTTTCATAAAAGGATTCTTATTATAACGATTATCGTGTTAGCCGCAAATAATTTTTTCAATTGCCGATACAGGGAAATATAATCTATTTAATAAATGTGTAAGCGACTGTATTCGACTCGTTTTTTCAACTAATATTTATGTTTGAGTATGTATAATTCTTTTATCTAATCATCAGCTCCAGGTACCCAATCTTCATCATTTGAGTCATCATCATCCAACTCCAGGTCACCGATATCTTGAAAGAGTGTCTCATCTATTTTCACATTTTCAATAGATTCACCAGCTTCAAGCAAGAATTTAATATCTGAGTCGTTGAGTGTAGTATCACACATGAATAGTTCCTTGCCGGTCAATTTTTTTGAGTCATTATTCTTCTCACGTTTCGCGGCGATGCCTGTGCTTTCTTCGAATTCCGCTCTCCACTTTAGAAACGATTCAACAGTAACACGTGTACCCTCGAATTTCTTACGTTCCGCTTCTTCAGCTTCCAAAAGTTTTCTCGTCCGTTCTTCCTCTTCATGCAATTTGTGATCATCCCAACGTTCATTTAACCATTCTTGTGCACTGCTCACTAATGAAAATATCATTTCCATGCCAATATTTTCTTCGATCACTTGTTTCATATGTTCTAATAGTTTTCTTTCGTAGAGCTCTTCCATATTTACTGGGTCTTCAATGGCCACTTCAGGTGCCTCATCGGGATAATTAGGTGTGTACGTGAAAACAAGTTTGCATGCCATACCATCAGCCTCTTCATCAGCGTTGTATTCTTCTGTGGCTATAGTTATACTGAATTTGTAGGAGGGTTCCTTTTCTAACACTATAATAAAAAAAATTGTAAAATTTATTTAACACTTGACAGTAAGCTAAAATACAAACATTCCATTTCGGTGTAGTATATGGATTCCAGCGCCTCAATTTCATTGGCTTGATCTTCCTTATAGTTTCTGCTCATTTTTATTTTTATTTGGTATTGATTTCGGAAGATAAACTCGAAACTAAATGCTTAACAAACAAATTAATAAAATAATCCTTGTTGCACTAGACGATGCAGCTGTTTACGTGCTGCTTTCTTTTAGGTTATTGTGCCTGGTAGGAGTTGCCATATTTTTTGAGAATAAAGTTGTTTGTTCGCTACATTTTACTGCGTGTGCTAGTTTTGGAAAAAAAATTAAAACTTTATCATATTTCAACCAAAAAAAACTTCTTTAAGTTATTCCCTTTAGCCCACTTCCAACACGATGTTTTGATATAATAATTTAAATACGCAATTAGTATGGCAATAGTAAGAATTACGCACTTTGTACATTCTTTCTGACATTCAATTTTTGGCATTTCCAGCTGTCACTTTTTGACAGCTTTGAGGTTACAATTTTCCATTGGAAATTCTGGCTGTTGTACAATTTCGTGAGCACGGTATATTGGTAATTTCTCGCAAATATTGTGAAAATATTTAATTTTGTAAATTGCCTCGCTTATATAGTATTATAGGAATTTATTTTGCTACCCACAAATACAATGTTATTGATATGGTATTAATCTTATTGCAGAATTCTTGTTATCGAACGCTAATTACATAATACACAATCACAATGTCGCAAGCTCCAGTACGTGTATCGCCCTTAATCAAATTCGGCCGCTGGTCTTTGCTCCTTGTCGGAGTTGGTTATGGTGCTTTCCACCAAAACAGATTGTCCAAGAAGGAAGAAAAGGTGCGTGAAATTGAAGCTCAACAAAAGGTTGTACGTGATGCCAAATTGGCTGAAGAGAAGAAGCGTGCGGCGCAAGCTGAAGTTCGTGCTTTGGAAGAGCTATCAAAACCAACACCAAAGCATTAGGCCATTTGTCCCAGAATATGCATATATTTTAGATTAAATCCAACACAATAGATTTGATGCGAGGAAAATAAAAACGAAAATATTTATAATATTAATGCATTGTGCGTTTTCGAACATTGGTGAATAGTGATTTTGAAATAATCTTCCCTTGCTCATTGCAAAGAGGTGTTTAATTTACTGTTTCACCAGATTTTTATTTCAGAAATATATGGCATGGAAAGCTTACACTCATTTTGAATTATTTTTTTTTATTTTTCTTGAAATTGTTTTAGCTGAACTAACTTGCAAAGGGAGTCTTATTATATCTTTTCGTTCGGTGAATTCGGTATTTCGTTCATGCTCTAACGTTCCAATATGAAGTTCTTTCTTACAATTTCCTTTAGTTTTTTGTTTTAGTATTAAAATTCAGTTTCCTTAAAGATAACTGATTCTCCATTTTTGTGTGCAAAAGTTTTGCATGAATCTCCCCAGACAGCTGATTATGACTCCCCGGACGTAAATAATTACACAGCACAAGAAGCATAAAATTGATATTCCTAAAATTATTTCGACACTGGCAGCACTCGCTCAGCTGTTTGTAAGCCACCCTGCAAGAATGGGCTGATGGGTTACCAAACACACGATTTCGGGAACCACAAACACACATTGACTTTTTTTTTTGTTTATCGGTTTCTCCGCAGTAGATAGAAGTGAAAAATATGTACATGATGAGGACAAGCTATGGTAATAATATATTTTGGATTAATTAAGTACTTCATTTTTCATTGCATTTGTTTATTTTAGGGCACTCCATGTCGGACGAAAAGATCAGTTAATGGAGCAGTTTGACTGGAATGGACGCTTCTTATCTTGCTACAGCAAAAGATTTAAAAATATTCGACAAAACTTTGTGAGGTATAACTGCACTTAGCCATTAACAACATTATGATTCCAACATTACTTTTTTAGCTGCGATTATGATGGAGGCGTTCGTGGAGCTGAGGAGCTGCGTCACCAAAGCATGGCATGCGGTTGTTCTGATACTATATTGCAGAAAATTAATATATTTAATATAAATATAATATATTGCTGTACTATTATTTCTTTGAATGCTGTATAAACCATGTAAAATATTGGAATAAAGACTAAAGACTTAATCTCAATAATGTTTGTATGTATGTAAAACATGTAGGGACAATTTTCTGCCGCTCATCTGTATTCTGCTTGTACTAAAAGAATGACTAAAATACATGAGGAAACGAAGAGAGAATGACGTACACGTATACAAATGTATGCATCACATTTGTCATTTCGGCATTAAGAAAGTGATGGGAAAATTGTTCTATGAGATGTCGGAATATGGCATCATGCATTCCTCACATATGTTGGCCTAAATGATCAGAAGAATTCTTGCAGAGTCTCGTGCGTTTTGTTGACATTACTTGTTTGGTCGATAATTCTGTAAAGTGTAATTTTAACGCATAAATGAGCACCATTAAAAATCATGTCAGCAAATCCAATAACTGGCGGTTTTAATACATTCAGTGGGAGCAAATATAATGCTAATCAAATTAGACCGCCCGTGCAGTATGCGAAACCAGGGCCTTTCACAAAATCAAAACTGCTCCAAGATTGTCCGGAAGCGGATATTCGTGTATTAAAGGATGCAGCAGCAAAGGTAGTTGCACAGCCTGGTGAGTGATTATAACAGTCAATTAAAGGGAATTAAAAAAAAATTTGAAAAATAAACTTAATTCCAATGCAGTATCTGCTCTACTCCAATTGTCTCTATCTGCAAATTGGTCACATATAACAACAGGCTGTGTGGCATTGGATAGATGTCTGCGTGGTGGTATAGTAACCCGTGGTATAACTGAGATTTGTGGTGCATCTGGTGTGGGTAAGACCCAGTTGCTGCTACAGTTGTCCCTAACAGTTCAACTACCCCGAGAGCTAGGTGGTTTGGGCAAGGCTGTTGCTTTTATTTGCACTGAAGACACCTTTCCCTCAAAACGACTCTTTCAGTTGGCTAAAGTATTTGAAAAGCGTTTCCCAGATCAAAAAATAAACTATATGGGTAATATATACATTGAACATGTACTGGAGGCGGTAAGTAATAATTTGTGGATTGTGATATTTGGACTTTATTTCTTAATACAATTGAAAAAATTTAGGATGATCTGCTGAAATGTGTTGGAGTGCGCTTGGCTAAATTAATGGAGTCTCTTAGAATTGGCCTGATTGTTATAGACTCTGTAGCAGCTATTTTTCGTACATACAACAATTATATTAAACGTGCGCGTGACATGCGCAAATTGGCCAACTACTTGTTGTATTACACAAATAAGTACCAATGTGCAGTGATTTGTGTGAACCAGGTAAGAATTGAATTCAATATTTTTAACAAAAAAGTTAACGATTTTGCTCGATACTAATCTAGGTGGCTACTGTAAGCGATGAAGCTAAAGAGACTCCCTGTTTAGGTTTAGCTTGGGCACATTTGGGTCGCACGCGTTTAAAACTTTCCAAAGTACCAAAAGAGGTTAAAATTAACGAAGATTTGTTTACAGTGCGTCGTTTTGAAATCGTATACTCCCCAGAGACGCCAAATGAAGTGGCTGAATTTATGATAACTGGTGGCGGCGTGGTCGATGTGCCCATATAGTACAGCTTAATGAAATATTTTCAAAGTATTAAATTAAAATTAAAGATTTGCATTTATTTGTTTATGTTTTAAATTTATTTTATCGCATAGTTATTGTTAAGTTTACAATGCGCCTGTTTTGTACATTCAATAAATAGTTAAAGTTTGAATAATGTAATTAATTACAATTAATATGGTTCAATACATATCCATGCAAAGATAGTGTATATGGATGTGTCAAAAGATTCGGGTTTTCAATGAAATTCATTGTAAAAGAACTTTCAATAATGTTTTGAGGCAAAGACATTTTGGTCAGTATACATTTACATATATTTAATTGTTGCTTTTCTCATACATTCATATGCACATATGTATGTACATACACCAGTATGTTCAACATGTAGCTCTTTCGTATACATTAAGTTTGGTTCTAATATACATTTTTCATTTATCACATTACATCCAAATTAATATATGTATTGACACACATATTTAGCATTAATTTTGTATGTTTCGCAGAAATATCTATTACTTTTAATGTTTATTTGATTTCGTTATACTAATTGTTAAATTTTTGTATTTATACATCTTTGTTTGAAATCATAGTAACACCTAAGTTTTTTATACATTTGTTGTTGCTGAATTAATTGCAAAATTGCATAAGACGTAGCGAAATTATATATACACATTCACTTTTACATTAAGCATAAGCATTAGCACAAATTACTTGTATGACCTAATTCGTTTATTTGTTCCTTTGTTTTTGTTTGTTACACCTTTGTTCTTAATTTTTGTTCATACCACTACGCAAACGTAACACATACATATATAATATAATTAACTTAAAATAGTATACTCTTGAATTAACTGAGCTTCTTTGTTCTAACTTCGTTATGTGTTGTACTTAAATCACTAAAAAAAATTAGTTTGTCAATTTTGTTCATTTTTTGGCACAGTTCATATTGACTGGAAGATTTCTCCATAAAATTCTCTTTTATTACAACTCGTTTGTTTCAGAATTTTCTTTTTTAATTCTCAACACCCCGCATTTCTGCATCTTCCTCCTGCTCTTCGTGCTCTGCCTGCGTTTCGCAGTCATCCACATCCTCGCTTAATGATTTTACTTCTGTACGCTGTACCACCTCAATTTCTTCCCCTACATTTGTCGTTCCTACATTGGCAGAATCTCCATCTTCATCTACCATTAATTGCTCCTCAACATGCGTCTTTCCAGCTGTCCTTTGTTGTATTCCCTTCTCGCTACTACTACTTTTGCGACCTCTTGTCACCGACTCCTTTCTATCGGCATTCAATTTCGCACAGAGCAATGCATTCGATATTTTCGATGCCGCTAATTTGCTTTCAAAATCCATGTCGCTGAAGTGCAATGGACTGCGATTGTTGTTAGCAGCGCGCAATAGGCTTAATTGTAGCTCGCGATGTTGCGGCGATTCCTCTAATTTGATTTCCAGCTTCTCTGTCTGCTCCAATGGTGCAGCTGGCTCGACAGTCAGTGGAATGGCGTGTTGTCGATGATGCGAATGGGTATGGTGGTGTGCGTGATGTATGCGGTGATGCGTATGGTGTTGATGATTTTGTTGTGCATGTACATTCTCTGCGTTTTTGTTGTTGTTATGGCTTGCCTTAACACCAACACCTGCTGTTGCCGCAGCGCCGTCACCATTGACCATCGCTGAACTATTGCTGCTGTTGACACCTGCCGCCGTAGCGCTCTTTGTGGTTTTATCCAGCAGCGCGTTTAGTTGTTTCTTAATTTTCGTCGCTTGTTTTGCGCTCAACTTAGGGCTTAATTCGCTTGTGGCCGTCGCGCGCGTCTTCTCAATGTTGCCATTTGTGTTGTTATTGTTGTGGGTTTGTGACTTTTTACTCGTTGTCTCTGTAGCGGTGTTTGTTGTATTGCTGGCAGAGGAGTTTGTTGCTGACGCACTTGTTTTTGCATTTTCTGTTGAATTTTTGGTGGAGTTTGTTGTCTTATGCTCGGCAACCTCGGAATTCGATAGATTATCCTGCTTTTTCCACTTGGTGCGTCGATTTTGAAACCAGATTTTTACCTGCAAATAAAAAATATGAATATCAATTAATTTTGGAAAAACTCTTTAATGGGTCTTTACGAACTGTTAACGTTAAACCTAGACGAATATTTCTCTTGCAACACTGTAAATTTATATAAGTGTTTTTTTTTTCAATTGTGTGAGCTCACTTTCATCAAAATATTTGTATATTATTTTGTTTTGTTTACTTTAATTCAAATTAGTTTTTATTATTTTATTATATTTATTTACTTTTATTTTACGTTAGTTTTTTATTTTATTTTGTTTTATTTATTTTACCTCAGATTATTTAATTCTATTTTATTTTACTATATTTCATTTTAATTTTATTTTATGTTATTTAATTTTAAGTTATTTCGTTAAATTTTATCATATTTTAGTTATTTATGTTGTTTTATATTTTTTATTTAAATTTATTTTTTTCCTTATTTCATTTCATTTTTTTGTGTTATTTTATTTCATTTCATCTTACTTTATTTTATTTGATGTTAATTTACTTCATTTTACTATATTCCATTTTAATTTTATTTTATGCTGTTTAATTTTAATTTATTCCTTTTACTTAATTTTTACCATGTTTTAGTTAATTTATTTTATTTTATATTTCCATTTACTTTTATTTTATTTTGCTTATTTCGTTTAATTTGAGTTATTTTATTTAATTTCCGTTTATTTTACTATAATTTTTATTAAATTTTTTTAATTTTATCTTATTTTATTTTTCTTTATTTTATTTTCTTATTTTACTTATTCTTATTTTATTTTATTTTGCTTTTTTCATTTCATTTTGCTTTGTTTTATTTTACTTTATTTTGCTTAATTCATTTCATTAGATTTTGTTTAATTATTTCTTTTCATTTCTTGTTATTTTTTTCTCTTTAATTTCATTTAATTTAATGTTATTTTATTCTGGTTTATATTATTTTGTTTTAGTTTACTTCATTTAATATAATTTTTTAATTTATTTCATTTTATTTTGTTTTACTTTATTTAATATTATTTTATATTATCTTTAATTCAGTTTTTGAGATTTGTACACTTACTGTTAGGCTTATATTATAGCAGATCCAGTAAATAAATGAATTCGGTGTAATAAAAAAAATTTATTTTAGTCACCTCAATTTGTTTTGTGTTGTTTTATCATTATTTTATTTTATTTATTTTTATTTTGTTTTATTTTATTCTGTTTTAGGTACTTTCCTCTTAATTTTGTCTTATTTTATTTAATTAAAATTTTATTTAAGTTTCTTTATTTGATTTTATTATGCTCGGTTTTCTTCTCTTTTATTTATATATTTCAAACATGTATTCTTTTATTTAATTTTATTTGTATTTGTTTTGTTTTATTTTTATTTATTTCCTATAAATATTTCAGATTCTTCTTAGTTTTGTACTTCACCTTAATAAAGTGAGTGTGTGCGCCTGAAAAAGGAAAATTAGCATTTAATATTATGCTTTCTTACAATAACTCATCACCATTTTTGTTTAATTTCATGCCGAAGCAATTATTTGTGTTGTTCATACGTTTACATAGTGGTTGGGCAACGAGTACTGCTTAGTGCCAAAGAAATGCCAAATAATGAGATCTTCTGGCTCATCAAAAGCTCTTAGCTAGACATTTATTGTGTTTTGCTTTCGAGAAATTACATATTCTGTTAACATTCCATATATTCATCTATACATATATGCATATGTATGTGCATACATGTATATCTGACCAATTTCACGCACATATTCATCTAATAAACGATGAGTTGAACGATTGATGAATTTTGTTGGATGGCTTGTTGCGATTGATGATGATGGATTATGAGTGAATATTTCGTGGGCTTGTCTTTAGTGGGCCAACGGCAGTGATTGTCTAACTTTTCAGCGTTAGAAAAATATTATCTATGTATATGTCTGTTTGTAGTATATTGTAGATGCTTACGCTTGTACAACTTTGTTTTGAAATTCTATTTAATATTCTTAAATGTAAAGCAGTGCAATTATAACAAATAATGAGCAATTTTATAATTTCCTGCTATCTTTAACACCACCCCATAAATAGATAATAAATACATGCAAGTAGGTTCATTTATATTAATATTGCTCGGACGTATATAATGTATAGAACATACGTATATAAATGTGCATTTGGGCAACGAAAAGGCGTGAATCTATTATGACGGCTGCGTGGTTATGAGTTTTTTCTATAATTACTCATCACTTGGTAGTATGCTCTCCAAGTGAAGAGTAATTATAGAAAAAAAACCTTCTCATAAAAATTTATCAGTCGTTCGGAGGGACTAAGACAAAATATTAGGTCCCTTCATTTGTTGGTTAAACATCAAGATGCGTACTACAAGACGAAGAATGAGCTCTCGGCCAAATTCAGGAGCGATAAAGTTCCAATCTAGACAAAAACCTATTAAGATTCTTATCAATTTCCCTCCTCCATTCCCTTCATATGTTTGACTAGATGAAATTCGTACAAAAATTCAACAAAATCGTCCACATATAAAAAAGATTTCAATAAAAACGGTATATAGTTCACTTCGTGAAATTTCAAGTAAATCGAATCACAAGCTAGATTTTTTTGGAATGGATCGATAAAAAGCTAGCTATATACTACCAAATTTTTTTTTCCAAGGATCCATAAATACGAATTTTATTAATTGGTCAAACCTTGTTCCGCTTCCCAGTTATGAATGTTGGTGATAATTTCAGCTACTAAGCACTAAATTTCAGATAAACCAATATTTTGGGATAAATCGGACACAGATCCACTTCCCGGAAGAAAAAGTATTTCCTATGTACCAAGTTTAAAGTGTATTTAACAATAAAAAATATTATTACTTTTCTGACGGGTGAAAACTCTCACAAAAAATATCCAAACTTAACTGAAACCCACTCCAGATTGAAATGAAGCAATCCTGAAAATTCGAAACGAAATAAAATTTTCTGAAGCCCCATAAGCTCATCGTTAACTTTATTTTTAAAACGGCTGCTTGCTATGATTTAAAATCACACTATAGTTTTAAGATTTAACATTATCAGTGAACGTTTTGACATCAACGACAGCATTTCGTTTCGAGTGGTTAATGTGAAATACATCGTTACATTGCACCTTCGCCACACATACATACTGCTTATGTCAATTTTAAAATGGTTGCCTGCTAAGGTATTAACAGCACACCACCATCTCAACGTTTAACATTATCTCTCAACGGCTTAATATTAACGACAGCTCTTCGTCTAGGGTAAAGTTTGAAATTTTTTGCTTAACGAGAAATTTGTCTTTTATCTTATCAATCCCGTATTTAAATAGCTCAGCTCGGCTGCAGCTGCTTTGTTGTTGTTAGGACGTGCTATTGCTATTCTTGCTCCGGTAAATGGAATGGTTATAATAACGGCGTTTTCAGAAATGCTATAATTAAAACTAATTAAAAAAAAAAATAATTTAATTAATTAATTGTACTTTCAATGAGCGTTCAGCGTAGAAAATGTCTACAAGTGAAAGAAACTATTTCATGAGCATTTATTGATCTTCTTTTCTGGTTGAAACACCCTGCATTTACTAACGTCTCTCATAGATATGCATTTGAGTGTATATGTATTATATCTTTTGTCTAGCTTATTTAAAGGCATTCTTATTAAGTTTGCAAGCAATATTTTAAATGTGATATACACAAATACATATTATTTGGCATGTGTGTAATATTTTTATGTCTACAGCAACACCATCTAGTTTTAAAAGTATTTTTCGTTGTTGTTTACATTTATGAAAATTCAAAAATTGTTTTCAATTGCCAATAAAAATGTTTAATGTGCGTCATAGTCGATTCATACTCGAGTATTCATACATGCATACATACATATACATTTGGTTCAATTTAGTATGCGCGTACTGTGGGATCGGTGGAAGCGTTTATTAGGAGTTTATTTTTGCATCTACAAACATACATACAATTGTATGTTATTTGTAAGTATGTCAGTACATCAATTCGCCCCACAAAAAGCAATTGAGTTAATTACATGTGGCATGCATCAGCAGTGGCACCGCATATTCTTTGAATTCCCTGGTAAACAAATCAAAATGGCAAAGTGTTAATTAAATTATGAGAACATTGATGTTTTAGGTGCTTATTATGTTTATTGTATAACTAGATACTTACATATATCCATATGTATACATTTATAAAGGGTGTTTATTTATTTATTTATTATCAAGAAGAAGCATAATGCAAAGATAAAGGTTTACCATTATTTTTTAAAAATGATTTTGAGTAACCGCAGCTGCTTTGAATAAATGACAGTCTAACTTTCGATCACCTTGCGATTATTTTTTTGTCAGCAATAACGCGCCAAATATTCTCTTACAAGGCGTGAACATCAAATTAATCCAGTGTGTCGAGATAAAGCGCTCACCAAACGTTTCCTTTAATAAAATAATAATTTTGTTGGCTCTAGCTATGCACCGCCACATTGTAAGAACCAAAGGGCGTCCACATAAACATACTCTATTTTAGGAGCTAAATATTAGAAGATTTCTCCTGCCCATAGCATACACCAAAGAGTCACCTTCTGAAGATGCAACGTCGTCTCAACAATGAAATGTAATTGGCGCTTTGTAACTGCTAAAGCAATTTTTCGGCCGAGCGGCTCCTTCAATAAATCGTTTTGAGTCTTAATGTTTTTCTAACAAATGGAGGGACCTACGGCTTATTCTAAGCTACCACCGAACGGCTGATGATTCTTTTAATAGGATACCTTATTCATGTCCGAAATACACGTGGAATTTAACTTACATTTTTATGTAAATTAATTTTCCATGACCTCTGGATGTTGCTGGCATTAGGATTTGATCCCGAGCCTTCTGAATGTCAGTACGCAATGCTAATCACTCGGCTTCTGTGGCCGTCTCACCAATGCAACAATTTTGTTTATTAACGCACCCATACAGCCAAATGTGAATTTCAACGCTAAACAAAATTTTCTTGTGAAAGTCGGGATCAGTG